CTGAATTCTCCGAGACTAACTAGCGACTCGCTCAAACTTTCGTCTGATGACAAAATGTTTATTCCCGATGGAGCACAAACAAGCTTTGTGACGCGACAAAAGTTTAAAATCAAATCATTTACGTCGTCATAATTGAATAAGACCGACGCATTCATACGCAACAATATTACCACACTAAACGATTGAAGCCGCAAAACGGACGAATTTGCGCCCATTGAAGTGAAATTACCCGTGTGGGTTCACTGTTAAAATAATTCAGTATATACAGTAGAATTTATGAGTAATCCCGCCCTTTTGTACCTTCAACGTGTCATCTAGTCCAGAGAGTTAGCGGATGGCATATTGTGCCGGCACTGTTATCAGTGAATTTCACGTATTTTTCTCGGAGAGCAAAGCCGACGAGACGGCCCAATCGAATGACAAACCACGGCCTCTCGTGCAGTTGCTAATCTAGCTAGGTAATCAACTTGGAAAGTGGGATAATTCTTCGTGAATGTTTATACCGTGAAATAACAGTTAATGATTTTATTTTTTATAGCGTCGTAAAAACGTGGCTTTGACGCTCCACAGACCTCGCAAATTATTTATCAGAAGAAAATGTCATAATGCTGATTGCTTTTAATGGCGCTTTTAAGATTATTCAGTAAATTTAAAAGTTAATCAATGGTTTCTTAGATCGAGGGGTTCCCTAAGTTATCCAACTCACGACTGATTCACTTTCTGTGATGCAAGTAACGACGTAATAAAACAAAATTTGGATTTTTATGATCAAAGCCACCCGCCAAAAACAACATCCCCGCCAATGCTCAAAATAAGAGAATCAATAATTATCCAGTTGGGGTTAGTAGAGCAGATTGGGCTGTGATTCAAATTTTTAAATCATTTCTAACTCTGACCCTGACTGGATATTTACTAATTATTTATCAATTTTAATCGGTAAGTATGTTAATAGGTATTTGTCTGTGTGCATGTCTGTTAAATGAACGCGATATCTCACGAAGGCGAGATTGAATCTGCTCCAGATTTTGCATGTGCATTCACCATAAGTCGGACCAGAAGCCTATTGATTTTGAATGAATTATGTCGTATAATTAGCGAGTTATTAATCAATTAGTAATGGGACACAAGGTGTCACTATGAAGTAAGACACTGTTTTGGGATCCCCTAACTTTCGATCGATAAGTCTTCGGTCTCTGACCGATATTCTCGTTTGTTATTTTAAAACGTGGCGGGGATGTTTTTCTCAAATATCACATTTTCGCATTAGTGTACAAAAAGCTCCGAAAATTTTACTTTATTAACATTAAATTACGATAGAAGAAAATTTTAAAATAAATATACATACGTTTAATCAATATGAGATAATAGAGCGAGACGATAATGAAGCAAGTAACTGAGTGCTCCATATCGCAAGTCGTACTTTCTCTCTCAACGTTAATTAGAACAGATTCACTTATTTTATGTCAAGTGCTAAATACGGGTTAAATGTTCAAAACATTGAGTGATATATTGTGACTCACTTTGAAATATTCTCTTCTCATCTCTTGGCAAATCACGGGCAACCAATGAAATGGCAAGTTACTACTGATACTGATTAGTAGAAAGATTATTTGTATTTATGCTTTGTATGTTGTCGGTCAGAAAAAACGCTATATAAATATAAGTGTGCGCAGCAAGGCTCTTGAATATGTTATAGTGTTTATTTGCTTCACAATTTTGGGTAAATACATACATACGAACATACTTAGAACAAGAGAGCTATGCTCAAATATATGGACACGTAGCGCCACCCAATGGCAATAATTTTGATGATGTCATAGCGAAAAAAAAAGTAATAGCCTCCTGGAGAAAAATTTTATCTTTAACCACTGAAAATGTCAAAGCAATTGGTCCAGTATTCGAAGAGAAAAGCGACTTTTTAAAAACGCGTCAAAGAACAAGAACAACAACAACAACATAATATTGAAACGATCGTTATGTCTACTTCGTGTCCAATAACTATCAGTAGATGTTACGCGAGAATAACTCCGAATCCTTCCTCTACGGGCTATGTATTTCCGCTAGAGGATCCGTATGCGTATAATGCAAAGATGCTGTAGCAGGAATAAAAATATCATACTATGGAATTCAAGAGTTCTGCTGCACACTAACACAAATTTATTTCTGTAACGTTCCGTCTGACCAAAATCAGACTTCCTCAGACAAGCAGTACTCGCGTTCTGCTTGTCTTAAAGAGTCTGATTTTGAGAATAGTCACCTTTTATCGGGATGAAGACATGAAAACGGCGGGTGCAAAAAGCATTAGGAAAACAGGTATTGGGAAGTGTTAAGTGGAAGGGGAGATGACGAGATACTGCTGAGATCTACTGCTAATGCTGGGGGCAACGGATGAATACAAACGACACAACGCAAACAAGATCAAGCGAAGCAGCTTATCGTTTACATACCAAGCTTTGATAAAGGAATCTAGGACATGGCGAAGATAACATTAGCATTTAAGCTTTGTCAAATTTCGGTCAGAAGTAATGCTACATAAATATATTTCTGTTAGTGTTAGAAAGGCTGTTGAACCTGGTATAATTTATTACGCAGATGTTGTTAAATTTTTACGCAAATAAACATAATTCCTCCACCATCAAGTCCATGCATCTGAAACAAATAACTGGCTAACATTGTTATCTTTACTCTTGCTACAACACCCTGCAATATGAGGATACGGATTCACAAGTCCATAAACAAGGATAGTTGGTCAGTCTCGCGTAACCACGACCATACTTCTGAGCTATAACGCATTTTTTTAATAAACACAAAAGATGACTTGTTTCTTAAAGAAATTTAGTCCTACCGTTGTTTTCAGAATAGGCAATGATAAATTTAAACGTTACAGTGTTTTTAATCCTAATTTAATACAAGAGAGCTGTGCTCAAAAATATGGACACGTCACAAGGTGTCGCTATTTTTATTCTGGCACATCAAAAACGAATCTATTGAAGTCCACAGAAATAAGTTGAAATAAGTAAAAAGAAATAGCCTCCCGGCAATAAAAACAATCTTTAACCCCTAAAAATTTCGAAGCAATTGGTCCAGTATTCGAAGAGGAAAGCGATTTCATAATGACGAAGTAGAAGAATAACAAGAACAACAACATGATATCGATCGGTATGTACACTGACGTGTCCAAAAATACAGCAGTAGGCTATCTGAAAAAGACATTGGGACGGCTATATCCCAACCTCTCGTCCGGAAATGTGTCGGTATTGTCTCATTGGTATAGACTTGGAAAAGTTATAAGCGTATAAACATTTTTGAAATTCTGTATCATAATTTATTTAATCAAAAATTGTTTTTTTAAATCCTCTCCTCGGTATTATATGAATACTTTCGCGAATGCGTCAACTTCGGTAATCCGGTTTGAATCGGATATAAAATAGGTCGCGACGCATGAGCGAACAGCCACGTCAGTAGCGAAAACAATTTTCAAGTTTAGTTTAGGTTTTTGTCAACGTTTTTTCAAGTTTTTCGGTCAATTTTTGGTCGAGTTCAGTCATTTTCGGGACTTTTTATAACGCCAAAGCACTAAAAATATTCTATGAATATAGGAAAATGCAAGTTTCTCAAAACCCGTTGTCGGCGTGTCTTGTACACGTCTTGCCGTTTTGTTTCTGTTGCCGCGTGGCTTTTCACGGATCGTGAATTCGAGATTGCCTCCGGCGGGTTATGGATTTATGTATTAGAATGTTATGTACATTAAGTTTAATGACTGTAACAATCAAGTCAAAATATAACAAATAGTTGAATATGGTCGCAAGTGCTGAGCTCTTTCAGTCTGTCAGTTCAGCAATTTGTAGCAGAAGATAATTTAAAACTGAAGTCAGTAAAATCAAAAAACTGATCTAATCAACTTTCTGGCTTTGGTACTGTAGTACGGTACAGCAGCACTGCAGTAAGATTTGGCTGAAATAAGAAAGTAAAAGTAGCAGCACTGACAGTTCCACTTGGATGAGGATATTCTGACCAGTCTGGCACAATTCCAGAATTCCTAGATTCCAAGAATAGCCCCCATATTCTGATATTGCATTGCTGTATTGGAAGACATGAATTATAACTGTATAACAGTGATTTCACTGTTATTTCTTTACGTCCTTTACGAGACAGTCTGGGCCGTTATTTCGGCGATACCTAGTTGGCAAACCAGTATTGTGCAACAAGCTTAAAAGGGAACGCAATCTGAAAACGTCATCATTGATTTCCACAGGAAAAAATATTCCGATTTATTTACCAAAGAAAAAAAATTTACTGTAGCATTCAGGAGTTTTTAGTGAAAGAACATGATTTTGGCCATGTGACGGCCTACGCAAGTCACGGCTAATTTAGATTAATATTGAGAAAAATATGGCGCGATCTGACGAGTTTCATTGACAAATCGAGTGTTATTTTTATTGAACCGAATGTTGGTACATCTTGGAATTGGAGAAGTGTGCCATACTGAAATACTGCATTTTAAACCGAATTATTGAGTTATTACAAGCTATTACACCCGTTTTTCTGAAGTGACTATGCAGGTGTCTAATTTTCAAGTGTCATCTTTTAGTTTGTCCAACTTGTAACTATTTCTATGCCCGACACGGACTCATAACAGGGACTTGTTTTAACATAACAAAAAGCCACAGTACGCCATATATGATTAAGTCAACTCATCGGCTTTCCTTGCTTCTTTGACTGATATTCTATCATATAATTAAATCATCTTGTTATCTTTATTCTCCCACAAAATAAATATAAGAACCCTATTTTTATAAAAATTGAATTTCTCACAACTTTATTTCGATATCGACAAGGAATGATGACTGAACATACAATATCATATAATGTGAATGAATCATCTTACTAGCTTCCTCTCTCCCAAGAGAAATATAAAAAATTACATCTTATGATGAAGTCATTTTATCAGCCCCCTCATGATTATACTGAATTCTATGATTTAATTATTATTATTTTCGTTTTGTTTAAAGAACTTCAAATACTTTAAATAATAATGGGAGCGGGGAGTAGTATTGAAATCCCTGGTGGAGGTACCGAGGGTTACCATGTCTTACGTGTCCAAGAAAATTCACCCGGCCATCGTGCTGGTTTGGAACCGTTCTTCGATTTTATCGTAATGATCGGAAACACGAGACTAAATCAAGACGATGACAGATTGAAAGACATTTTGCGAGCGAACGTTGAGAAACCGATAAAAATGCTCGTTTACAGCAGTAAAAGTTTACAATTGAGGGAAGTCACTCTCACTCCTAGTAGTGTTTGGGGAGGACAGGGTCTACTCGGAGTATCAATTAGGTTTTGCTCGTTTGAAGGAGCAAACGAGAACGTCTGGCATATCTTGGATGTTGAACCGAATTCACCTGCTTATTTAGCTGGTGAGATTTTTATACACATGTAGTGTAAAAAAAATGGTACTCCTGTAGTGTGTGTACCAAGTTAGGCCATAATTTTGTTCTGATTTTCTTTATTTTAGTTCTATTACGAGTTCCGGGGCCTGTCTATATTAGCTAAGTGAATATACATACCCCTTGCCAGTAGGTTTCAGTCCCTTTACACAACTTGATGTAAAGTAGGCGAACAAAATTAGTTATCTCCATATTGGTACACACACTTCTGAAGCATCAAAAAAGTTGACAGAATAATCCTATTATTAATAGAGTGTTTTAATTCTGTCAGTTTTTTAGACATTGGTCGGCCCAAAATTGTGGGCAGGTTGTCTACAATATTCTTGCAGTCAGTGCATACGGATTTTACTATTCGAATATTGGCATTTACTGGATTTTTAGCCATAGCAGCTCAAAAGTTATAAGCCTGAAATATGCACAAAGTTTTGTACTTCTCGGTGTCGTATAAAGCCCGCTCTTATATTGTTTCATAGAAAATGGAATTAGCTTCAAAATTAAGTATCTGACTCAGCCCCGATTTTAAATTTAAATTTGTGAATATGCCAACTTATGTGGTCGTTTGTGCACAAAAACAAGCTCACATAATATGGGATGGCATTGACAAAATTCACATAAAGTATGGATAGATCCTTTTCTTTTCATAATTCAGTGTTAACAAAGTCGAATTTTTATTTCAATTTGTTTGTGATTTTCATTACACCAAGTAAATATGTCATAAGTTTGTAATGTTCAGGAACCTTTGGTGATTTTTTGCCACCTTCCAAACTATAAACGCTTGCGTCACTACATAATTCTATAAAAACACTCAGCTTTGCTTTTAATGATACGTTTCATCAGTTATTCAATGCACCACATTAAATATTAAAAAAACCAACAAACGAAAGCAAAGAATGAATAAATTATTGTCACTTTACTTTATTAAATTAATGTAGTCGCAACGAATATCCTGTGAAGGGCTCGTGGCCCCAAGAAAACCGCTCGGAGTGCCCAGTTTGAGAACCATAAATTAATCCTAGTCTCTCTTTTTATCCAGGACTTCGTCCATATTCTGACTACATTATCGGAGCAGATTCTCTTCTGAACGAACAGGACGATTTATTTTCACTGATCGAGTCGCATGATGGGAAGCAATTGAAGTTATACGTTTATAATAGTGACACAGACAGTTCAAGGTATCACAATTTTTCGAATTTTTATTCTGAAAAAACATTTTATGATTGCTGATAATTTATTAACTGTTTCATTGAAGTTGCCTCCACGTTTTCGAATTTTGAAGTTTGAAAGCAGGACTAAATATTGAGCTTTGAGTTATTAATAAAGTCAAAATTTGAGACATTCACTGTTGCGTAATGCACCACCAAAGATCTATATTTTTTGTGTAAATCTCAACATTCCAGTAGTGGCAGGTACTTTTGCTCAGAGATGAGTCCACTCCATTGGAATGAATGGCCGTAAATTTGCTCAGAGATGCATCCCTTTATTTCTGATCGAGTGCTCGTAACTTTACTCAGAGATAAATGTTCTTTTATTCTGAGCGAGTGCCCATAACTTTGCTCAGAGATGAGTCTCTTTTACTTTCTTTACTTCTGAGTCAGTGCCAGTTACTTTGCTCAAAGATAAATCTTCTTCGAGCGAGTCCCTGACTTTGCTCAGAGATGAGTCTACTTTACTTCTGAATGAGTGCCATTGACTTGCTTTGAGTAGGTTAATCCTATGCAAAAGCAAGGGGTTTCAGAATAATATAATCATGTGTTTTTTGGATATTAACTTCGCCTTCTTGTTTCAGAGAAGTTGTTATAACTCCCAATAGTGCGTGGGGAGGGGAAGGCAACCTTGGTTGTGGAATTGGCTACGGATATCTGCATAGGATACCGACAGTTGCAAGAGGTTTGTCTTTCCTTCAAAATTTTTGAATCAAATTCAGGATAGGTAGTTCTCTGTACAGCATAAGTGAGATTGCAAAGTGGTTTTTTGAAACAAACGTTTTTGAAACATTCCTCCATTGTCTGCTATTAATTTCCTGATTCCTCCCCCGCTATGCATAAAAACTTTGTTTTCAATTGTTTTGCTATCTTTATCTGAAACTTTGCCATGCGATGCGTGCCACTTAACAATTTTTGTACATTTTCAATGGTTTACGGTGTCTGCTTCTATATGCATTTCGATGATACTGAAAGGTATAAAATATTAGTAATGCTTGATGCAAACTAATGTATAGAAAGTAAAAACATTCAAATTCTTCCTTAGGGTAAAATTCTTACTGTTTGGGAAACGTTGTCAAAGCTATGAACTCTCAAATAAGTTGGCATTATAGGTCATAGGTCATGGATTTGGGGTTCAAATTCCACAGCCCCCACTTCACCCGTGGTGTTATAAATTGGACAGGCAATGCTGAATTAAAATAAAAAATCCTGTCGTTCCAAATAACGGTTGCTTTTTACCTAGAAGGGGTTGTTTTTTAAGATGCAGTAAATGTCATATATGAAAAGTATTGACTTCGATCATTTCAAGCTAACATCCATTGCAATTGTATATTCAGTAGATGATTTTTTTCTATCATATTTCCTCCCCACGAACATCAAAAGCCTCCCTGGGCAGGTAAATTCCTCTCTTCCTGGTAAACGTTGTCCTACCTTATACTAAATCAAACTATTTTTTCACCTATAGATCCATCTCAGCAGACAGATCCTGGCACTCTCAGCTCAGTAGCCGTGGCCCCTGCTGTCCCAGCCCAGCAGTTAGTACAACCAGTGGACGGGTTCTCTGAGGTGAGTCATCAGTGTTAACTCAGTATAAACTATAATCAGGGTTGTCCAAAACGAATCAAATATTCGAATATTGAAGTATCAAATTAAAGGCTGATTTTCAAATAATTCCGAATGATACAGAATTTTTGCGCTTCATCACGCATATTGTTGTGACACATTTGCATGGTTGCATGGTGGACATTGCCGCCATTTCCATATAAGGCTTCTAATTTACACATTCATTTCTCTTACGTGAAAATTATTTAGTGTTGAAATTGTTATGGTACCAATTAATTGTCGCAAGTCGGCTTTTTGGCTGATAATTTTGATGATGATAGTGAAAGTCAACAAAATATTCATATTCGTATTCGATATCATCATTCAAAATTATTATTAATTTAATTTTGTCCAATGTTACTCATGGTTGCATCAACAATCTGTGGACATGAAATGCCTGATTATTAATAATTTATGATTCATATTTTCGTATTTACAAAATAATAAAAGCATTTATACTCCAACATAGCACGGCAATGTGTGGTAAACTGCCAGGTTATAATTAAATTCTTATTCGAAATTTAATTTTCGAAAATAATAATTTCAACTGTATTCAAAATAGTGGACTATTCGGTAACGGTATTGGCCATCCCTGCGTATAATAACTAATAAATGCCCAAAACATAACCAAAGTAACTTCCAAGATACACAAACAGGAATGTGCCCTCAAGTACATGGCTACTTCACCTTCACAGCTGGTTGGTCATAATCAGTCATCTGTGACTTGATGACATCACAGGTCATGCTCGGCCATCTGGGAAATGCTAGTTGCCAGAAATACAATAAATATACAGTTAACATTAGTGATGGACGATCAATAATTCAATTATACAGTGCCATATTTAATGGACATTGGGGCTCACTTAAAATCCTTTACTTTTCTCAAAAATTGATTGTGGCCTTATAAGTCTAATGTATGGATCTGGTAGTGCTTTATCACCTTCTCTCAAAATCTGATAATTGCTTTTAAAAACCATTATGTTTTATAACCCGATACGCCTTATATGATGAATAAAACCCAATCTAAGGAATTTATTGACAGTGCATCTTATGTTCCGTAAAATACGCTATTCCAGATACCAAAAATGAATCTAATAATCATATACATTTGAAATTGGTTATAGGGAATTTTTCATATTGTGGAATAATTTTAATTGTTCAGAATTGACACAAAAATCAGTTTCATTTCTCAGTCGAAATTGATCTGCTGAGCATGGCCCGATTTTAGAATATTTGATATTCCATATTGTTAAATTAAATCTTCGTATGTATATGGAATAATAAATCTTTCTGACTTCCTGAAGTATGTGATTAGGATGGCGCACAACCTGAGCTCAGGTTGTGTACCAGGTTAAGGTTCAGGTTATGCGACATCTTGGTGTGCATACTTCAGGAGTACCAAATTTTTTTAGTTTTAGACTTTGGTCATCCATGTACGGAGGGCAAATAATTACTCTAATTACTCATATTTGAATCATTAGGCTTTAATTTTGACATTCTCAGGGTGGGAGAAAACTACGTTGCTTAATTATGTGGCAGACCTAGGCTTTTTCGGATAGCATTAATTTGAATTATGTTCAAATAAAATTCCTGGGTATATGGCAACATGCCCCATTTATTTTACAGATAAATATCTCGAACAGAAAGTCTAACTCCAACCCTATTTTACAGGTTTCTCTCAGTTCCTCCTTGCCTGGGCAGTCCACAGCTCACTATGCCTCAGTGCCACCTCTAGTGTCTGTTCCTATGGCAACGACCGCTTCAATGTTACCCGGCAACAACATTGATCTAAGCGTACCAACACTTGCACAGATGCAAGCACCACTACAACCGGCTACGAGTTCTATACCGGGGATTCCCCCTATTTCACTCCCCGCGGGCCTCCCCCCTATGCCACAACTCCCTAACCTGACAATGCCCCCTAATTTAACCATCCCACCCCTGAATTTACCCCCACTTGTAGGAGTTAGCCAAGCCCCACTTTTACCCACAAGTTACGCAATGCCCACCCTATCGAACCCCATTGCAACTGACCCAATTAATATCACCCCAATGCCAGCTGCGGGCCAGGTCACCCTGCCATCTATGGACAGTCTAAATGCAGCCCTGCCGAAAATGACCCCACTTTTGCCCCAACCTGCGGTTTCCGAGCCCCAAGCCCCAACTGAAGATGCCGCTCCTCTCCAGCAAAATGGCGAAGCATAAAAACAAATATTATAATAAAATATAAACTTGAAGCAAATAAGCTAGCTGCTAGTCACCTCAAGATGGGGTGAGAGAGTTTTTTAACACCCCCTTGTATTTATTATTAGCGTTAATTTTATATGGTGTTGTATGATCTGGATATCTGTTTGAAAAATGTTGGTTTTTCACCTCAAAAAAAGAAAAATTCCATCTTTTAAATTCCCTGATTTATACAGTTTTTGAAATTGTGCAATTGAATGTTTTGTCAGTCTTTATCTACTTGGAAGTTTTCACTGGGAAAGATTTGATTTGAAAATAGTTAGTTTTGACTGTTTCCATCAGCTCTGAATTCGGTTCAAAAGTTCGGTTGAAAGGTTTAAGAAAACTGAAATTGTACAATGTTTAAAATGATAAAAAATGAATATTATATTTATTTGCTTGTAAATTCTCTTTGGGAAAAATGGACATTGTTCTCAGTGTGACAAGTGTCTAAGTAAGATTAAAATTTTACGTATATCGTTGCGAAGAAATTCCGATTGGTTGATTGCCAAAAGGAGCAGGGTTTGTTTCGTCCAACACCGTCACTCCACAACAGTGGTTCCCAAACCTTGGCCCGTGCAACGATTTAATATGGCCCGTCGAACTTGAGTGGAAAAGTTTAACACTTTAGGTTTTTACCTTTTTGCGTTCTAAATACCGCTAATTGTTACGTCATTATCATAGTTCAAGCACATGTATATTTGTAACAGTTCAATTATACCGGTATTTTATGTACAGGCCCCTTGATGGCAATTCTCCCTTCCGACCCGCGAATATCCTTCCGCTTCTAAATTTGGGGCCCGGTTCATCAACTTTGGGGCCCACTGCTCTAAAATTTGCTGCCCTTCGTTGCAAAATAAAAATTCTATTCTGTAAAATTTGTTTACAGCCATTACACATTTATAATTGTTTGTTTTGGAAATAATTCTTATGCAAGTCAGTTCAAAGCAAGGTCCTAAACCCTCAATTGGAAGTAGGAGGATTGTCGGGGAAAAGTTACATTTTTTGGGGCTCCCGAAGTATACGAACCAAGATGGCGGACATCGAAATGTAATATGTGTACTAGGTTAGGGTTAGGTCATAATTTTAGATATAAATACTACGGGAGGCTCTTGGCTAGTCTTCGAACTGATAATACGACTAAAAAAGGAAAATTGGAAAAAAATTATCGCCTAACCTGTTGCCAATGTTACGTTCCGATGTCCGCCATCTTGGTTCGCATACTTCGGGAGCCCCCATTTTTTAAGGATAATGAGAACCGCTGGAGAATGGTGAGGAAACGCGGTTGAGAATCACTGCCTTAGATCCTCGAATTCTTAACCTCCAATGCCAACAATATTAAGTCAACCCTGAAACAACTTGAACAAAAATGAGTTAAATAGGTATATTGATAAAAGCACTCTTTAGAGTTTTGTTCAAGGTTTTGGTAGAGATGCCTGTATGTACTGAATGATACTAGACTCGGAGGTATATCAAGTCATTACTGTCAAGGAAACGTAGACTACCGGGATGTTTTCTATCCCAAATCGAACTGCCTTAAATTCTACATCAAGTTATATATTCAATTGGCTAACACAGATAGTCCCCGAACTCGTAATAGAACTAATATAAGGGAAATCTGAATAAAATTATGGCCTAACCTTAACCTGGTACACATCCAGACCAAATTGGCATAAATTCTGCCCAGAGATATTGAACAGGATCTGATTGCTGTATTCATTCTCTTGAGGTAGTGGTATCCAATCCTTTTTTAAGCGACCCAAATTTTCTAAAAAAAAAATTTTGTAAAATCTTGCAAGGATATGCTAAATGACATGTAATACTTTTATAGTCGCAAAATTAAATGACTAAGCTGCAATTGTTCGCCTTCATGTGGTGTTGCTTCAATCAAAATTTTTATGCTGTGATATTCACACACATATACAATTACTCTGAGGAAAATTTTAATACTAAATATAGAATGAATAATAAAATTTAAAACAATATAATATTAGTAACTTCGGTTTTTGTTCAAAACAAGTGACCCAAAAGAAATTTCAAGCGACCCATAAATTGGTAAACACTGTCTTGGAGTATGGAAAGGTAGTAATAAATACTATGGCAAACGCCATTTCTTACCTGGTTCCTAGCCTATGTCTTGATGGAGATTGGTTGACTGGCACGTACCAGCCTATTTCTGGTATTTAAACAGTTAATTCGGTCGAGGTTTTGGGCTTTGACATGTTTGTTTCAGACAAACTCTTTTATCTTTTCAATTCATTTGCAGTTGTATTTATATTGTTAGTTAGTAGGATACTTTTGTACAGCTCAACTTAATTGCAGAATCAATGGAGCGTGACCTGACAGCACTGGCACTTCTAAGAGGAAAATATTCTGGCCAGTCACACCTGATTTAGGCTTCTATCCTAGTTTCAAAAATTGATGAAGTGTGACCTGGCAGAATTGGTACATTTCTTTCGAGTGTGATTTATTCTGGCTAGTCATGCTTGGTTGATTCTGTTTATCGATGCCCAAAGTAGATAATCATTTAAAACATGGTAAATTTGAAGAAAAATATAATCTAGCTATTTTCCATGCTTGCTTTTATTCCATTGAGAACTTTTTTTATTTGGGGAGTAAAAAATTTACAATCAAGTCTGAGTTGAGAAAATTTTTTTATCACTATTGAAGACTTTGGGAAATGTAACACCAGATTTAAATAAGAACATGCCAAGCATGCTTTGGGTTCGACAACCTTGGGGGAGGGGGACGCGTCATTGTAAATTACCCCACATCGTTACTAGGGGTTCTAATAAGGGGTGTGGCCATTGGGGGGGTTTGAGGGTCGAAACCCCCCTTTTTGATATGTAAAAAAAATCATTTTTCTATATCATACGTAGAAGTTTATTCCATAGCTTGAAACGCTTTTCGGACTCTCAGACTCTTGGGAACCCACGATTTTAGGACTCTGACAGGACCCTTACTCGTGCGGTCTAACTTTATTTTCACAAATTTTAGAACCCCCCTTCCCCCCTTCAAAAATTTCTGGCTACGCCCCTAGTGTTAATAAATCCAAGTACTTTGTTTGGAAGAGTTCAACTAGAAAACTAATTTTGAATGTAAATATTCCTGATGGAACCTTTTTCTTGATATATTTCAACTATCCCATCTCACTGGTACTTTCTTTTCTATGAATTATTATTGTATATTGATGTCTGGCCCAAGCACGATTTTGGGCGCTCCAGAAGTGTGTGTACCAATATGGAGATAACTAATTCTGTTTGCCTACTTTACATCAAGTTGTATAAAAGGAATTTAAACCTATGGGCAGGGGATATTAACTTGGCCAACACATACAGTCTCTGAACTCGTAATAGAACTAAAATAAGGAAAATTGGAATAAAATTATGGCCTAATCCTAACCTGGTACACATGCTATGGGACTACCAAATTTTATATTACAGTTGCCTAGCTTACATTTAGCTTGATTTATATTAGGTCCATGCTTGTTATATCACTGTATAATGGCTCGTGTTATCTAAGGACCATGCTTGTTTACGTATGATCAACTCATTTTATTATTATGTAGTCTAATTAGCTTGCATTATCCTACGGCCATATGTGTTACAAAAATGCGAAGAATTGCATATTTTCAAATAAAATACTTGAAAATAACCCCAAAATGAAAAATTTACTATTTTTCTCCTAGTTTTTGATCCCCTACTCAGTCCCTTGGCTTCATTTTAACAAAATTCAAACCCAGTTCAACCTTCTTAACCGCTAGTGTCGTGTCAATTCGCAATTTCTGGCACACCCATAGTTTCAGAAGCTCTTGGTTTATCAATGGCCTCCTGTAACTTATGCACAGAGATGCGTTTTCTTCACTTCTGAGGGGGAACGATCAACCTTGCTTCAAGCAAATACAAATGTTCTAATAAAATGAACGTTTTCTGGCTCAGAGAATCAAAAATATTTCGTTAATTCCTAGGAGTTTGGAAATACAATTACCATTCCGGAAAAATACGATGAATTCTTAACCTAGCTTGTTTTATCCCCGGGCCGTATGTGGCCAGTGAATGCATGTATTGTATAAGCGTTTATTTTTGTTCGTTCATCCTGATGTGACATCATAAGCAAAATATATTATTTGATCACAATATGGTATGTTTTTTGTAGCTCGCAAAATATTGCATCTTCGATGCCAATGTTCGGATAGGATTTACATATTTATCCCGGGGGAGAGGAAAGCCGATAGGACGGCTCAATCATATGACGAACCACGGCCTCTCGTCCGGTTACCTTTCCATGTCGGGTATGGGATTAGTCAGCCAGGTATTAGTTTTCGGATGCATGGACTTGATGATGACGGAAGCCTCAACCAATCGCATAGGTCTTTCCGGGGAGAGAGTAAAGTTGTTACTTATCGATCTTTAGATCGGTAAGTATGTTGATAGGTATTGTCTGTCTGTTAGATGCACGCGATATCTCACGAAGGCGTGGTTGAATCTACTCCAAATTTTGCATATGTGCATTCATCATATCTCGGACCAGAAGCCTATTGATTTTGGATAATTTATGTCGTATAGTTAGCGAGTTATTAATTAATTAGTGATGGGCCACACGGTGTCACTATGGAGTAAGATAGGATGAGTCGAAACCGCAGTTTCTGTTTTGGGGATCCCCTACCTTTCGATCGATAAGTCTTCGGTCTCCGACCGGTATTCTCGTTTTATTGTTCGTGGGAAGGGGGAGTGACCTGGCTGCTTTAGAAAATAGATTCTCAAAGCCTCGGGGCTCTGTGAGAAAAACTCCGACGGGCTTCGCGGGCTATTCGTTCACATATTAAAATACTGAAAAATTGTAGATGTCTAAAAAACAATAACGGCATTAATAAAATGTGACAACGGTAGCGTCGAAATATGGCAACGAAGCGGTCTTTCGGATATCATTATCTATAAGTTTCAATTGATAACGCCATATTTCGATTACAGCCTTGTTGCCACATTTCGACACTACTTCATCAATATGTTTGTCAAGTGTCAAATTTGCGGGACTCCATAAATAGTAGCCTACCTCTTCACGGGCTCCGTAACACCGAAAGTTTAAGAACCCCTGATTTAGAACATCAAAAGTGCGGTTGGATGCTCAAACTGACTATATGATTTTGTAGTCTTTTTAGTTTGCTTCTACGATTACAGCTTGTGTACCGTCAATTCTTTGGTAATTTAGGATATTTGGCTGGAGGAGAAGACAGTCGGATAAGACTACTATTCCATAGGCCAGCCCTGGAATTTGCAACTTTTTTTTGAAAAGAGATTTTGCGGCATTCACAGTGACACACAAATTCGTACGCTTTTTCCAACACCATTTCGCTCTAATCTTAACTATTTACTGAAATTTGACTTTTCTTGCTTGTTATCCTTAATCCCGTCACCATATGATTATGAACTAAACGAGATGGATGAAAATGCGCGCTTGTATACTCTGGAGAGATTCTTCAAGATATTGTCAGTGGCTGCCTTTCCGGCCTTGTTCAGGACAAAACACGCGAGTAAGCGTCGTATTACGTCATATATTACAAAAAATTTGCCCTTTAAAATTTTAGGATGGCTACGTTCTTGTACTATTATGATATATATTTGTTTTGAAAGCGCTTTACTGGTTGCTTGAAAAGCTAAAAATCCAATTTCGATACTTCACATAAACCTAAAATTCTGCTTTCCTAAACTTCTAATGTGATGTTTATACGGAAGGAGAGAAAATCCGATAAGTGTTGATTTTGCTATGATAATATAAGCTTTCTTTGACATGGAAGGAAGTTGGGCCACACTCCTTTAGAAGCGTAATACCGAGCCGACAGGACAAAGTGTATAGCAGGGCGTGCAACTGGCGGTCCGCA